AAAAAAAAAAAAAAAAAAAAAAAAAAAAAAAAAAAAAAAGTTTATGGTATTGTCTATATTTCATTCAATTTTATGTATAATAAATTAGTTAATTTTCGTTTTTGTATTTAAAACTTGTTAAACATTTTTTTTATAGGCGTACTTTTAAGTTTAAACTAAATTTGGTTTCAAAACATTAAATTGAATTTTGTAAGGAAAAAAAGAAAAAAAAAACAAAAAACAAAAAACAAAAGGAAGAGAAAAAGAAGTTGCAATGAGGCAGCAACGGTTTTTGTTGCTTTTGTTTATTCAGTTCAATTCTTGCTACGGTTCCGAACCTAACCACTTGACCGTTACACCGAACCTAACGCTAACTCTTCAAATTCTCCTCCCTCTTCCTCCAACTCTCACAGCTTCCAACATTCAGCAAAATGGTATCCAAGATCATCAAAACATCCCTCACTAAGCCCTTCCGCCGTCAACGCCGCAAGTCCCCCGTAAAGAATGCCGCCTCCTCCACTGTCGCCGCCACCATCCGCCGCTCTCTCTCTATCTGCCACCGCCGTCTTCTCAAAATCTTCTCCAAGTTGACCTGTATCAGCACCCCCAACCGCTACAAAGGCTATAAGGCCTTGAGGACAACCGCACCCACATCCACATCCACATCTGCAACAGCCTCCCCTGAACCCGACATTGTCCGAACCTTAGTCTTCGACAACCGCCTCCTCCCTCCACTCTTTTCGCCGGCCAAGCGGACCGTTCTCCTCGACCTCGACGAGACTCTGATCCACTCCAAACTGGACCCGCCACCAGAGAGATTCGATTTCGTAGTCAGGCCAAGGGTCGACGGCGAGATACTCAAGTTCTATGTGCTCAAACGTCCAGGCGTGGACCAATTTCTGGAAGCCTTAGCAGATAGATTCGAAATCGTGGTGTTCACGGCGGGAGTGAGGGAGTACGCCTCGCTTGTGCTGAACAATTTGGACAAGAAATCGGTGATTTCTCACAGATTGTATCGCGACTCTTGCAAGGAGGTGGATGGGAAATTTGTGAAGGATTTGTCTGAAATTGGGCGGGATTTGAGAAGAGTAGTGATTGTGGATGACAATCCTAACGCTTACGTTTTTCAGCCGGAAAACGCGATTCCGATTCCGTCGTTCATAGACGATCCGGCGGACATGGAGCTTCGGAAATTGGTAAACTTTTTTGAGATATGCGAGTGTTATGATGACATGAGGGATGCTGTGAAGCAGTATCTATCTGGGTAGAGAAGAAATTTGAACGAAGATTGTTTGTTGATTTGATTATATAAATGTAGTTGAACAACCACTGTTCAACTCCAAATGAAACTCAAATTCAATCCAATACAGATCCAAGATTTGAAGATGATGCTGTTCTGCCTCTGTTGATCATTATGAACATTAACTATCCACGAATGACAATAAAACTTTAAATCTAATCATTTTTTGTTTAAATTTGGGATTTTTTTTGCTCTCACGTACAAACTTTAACCCCCTTTTCAAATTTATGTTACTTTCCCCGTAATGTATCCTTCTCAACCTCGTGATTTCAAATGATAAGGAGAAGTTTCAACGCCTTTATAAAAAATGTTTCGTTTTCTCTCCAACTGATGTGTGTTGTCAACCTTTAAGAGTGGAGGTCCAACGTTATTGTTGGCGCACCATCCGATGTCTTGGCTCTAATACCATTTGTAACAGCCCAAGCCACCTTTGGAGGGCCCAACATCCTCCTTGGCAGACCGCCCGATGTCTAGCTTTAATACTATTTATAACAGGTCAAAACGAACAATACTTACTAACGGTATACTTGAACTGTTTCAAATAAAATATAGAATTGTTTTCCTCTTATTTATATATGGGTCCAATCCAATCCATCTAATCAGCTTCTTGTAATTACGGATAAGTAGCCGGATCATAAACTAGTGTCTTTTCAAAAAAAAAAAAAAAAAAAAAAAAAAAAAAAAAAAAAAAAAAAAAAATATATATATATATATATATATTATTGTACTGATAAAATGAATATGGGTCCAATCCAATCCATCTAATCAGCTTCTTGTAATTACGTATAAGTTTGTCCGCAATATGTTCCCCCTTTTTTGTTTCAATTGCCCGAAGAGGCTGAGGCGGTAAGCAACTGAACACCCACATATCCCCCGCAGCAATGCATTAATTATTGAGTTTATTCTCCCAACAAAGTCGTTTATTCATAACAATTATTGGAGCATTGTTCAAGTTTTACTCAACTTTGATGGTCATTATTTGTACCAGGCCTCCATTTGCTTCAATTTATTGTCCTCTGCTGTCTCTAGCAGTAATTTTTTTAACTTTTTGGCAACTCAGCCACCCCGAATCCTAAAGTTGGCCTTCAATTCCACCGCTAATAGATATTGTCCGTTTCGACCCGTTTCGTATTTCCGTCAGATTCAAGGTTTTAAAATGCATCTACTAAAGAGAGATTTTCATACTCTTATAAGGAATGTTTCGTTCTCCTCTCCAACCAATGTGGGAGACGGTAGTGTGTGCTGCCCCTGTAGATCACTCACTCACTCACTCACTCTTCATATCAACCGGCACCGGCACAGTTTTAATTAACAGGCACAGTGAGAAATCTAGCAGGAAATGAAGAAAATGAGTATTGAGAGTTGTAAAAGGAAAAACAGTAATTCAACATTACATTAACAAGGCTTGCAATGTTTATGAACTGAGATGTTTTCAACAGATAAGATTACTACGCTTTGTCTGTAATTATTAGCTAAACAAGTTGTTCATTACAAGGGAATTGCTTACGTAATTCAGATTCGAACGCAGCCTGATTCAGATCGAACCACACTTGCCTAAACACCTTGATGATGAGATTATGGTATTGATCGGAATTCAATGTGAGATAACAAGCCAACAGTTCTTCAAGTTCTTCTGCTTTACTGATCCTTCTCTCCATGATCATTTCAACCATGGAGTCTCTGAAGTCTTGCTGTGGATCGAGCGAAGATTTCACGACCGCAAAGCTCTCCAACTCCGTCTCTTCCTCTACTATGCTCTCTCTTACCTTCTTCTTCATCTTTAACTTCGCTTTCTTCATATCCTCCAATGCTTTGATCTTGCAGATCTCAAGTTTAGTGGCTGTTCTAGGAGAGTAAACTCTGAGTTTTCTTCTGCCTTTTGGATTCTTCTCATTTGAGTCCTTCCTTATGTAGAGTGATTGCCTTTGTCTTTCATATCTCAACTTCAATTCCTCCATCTTCAACTCTCTCATCCTTTCCCAATCTGAATCAATTTCAGTGCCCACAGTCTCATGTTCATCACTTTCCTCTGCCTTCATAGAAGAAAATACACAGTTTTCTTCTATAGTTCCTAAATTGGAGCTTTTTGACATGGTGGAAGGGACATACCTATGCTTCCTTGAACTTCTCAATTTGGTTTTATCTCTCCTGTTCTTCCGAACTCCAGACTCTTCTTCCTGTACCAACATTTTCTTTCCTACTGATCTTCTTGTTCTCTCCCTTGCTTTATCTATCTCCCTTTCTCGTTTAAATCCCTTCTTATCCATCACCCTTTGACCCATACTCTTGAAGTTCCCATTTTCTCTGTATTTGATCCTTGGAGTTCTTGATTCAATATCACTTTCTCTTCTCAAGATATTCACTTGGGTTGGAGCTTCTTTCCTCCTCCTCCTTCTCCTCGTCATCCTTGAAACCATGTCCTCCAAATTCTGAATCTCTTCCTTCCCCTCAAATTCTGTACATTTTGATCTGCAGCTTCTATGACTTGTACGTGGAAGCTCATGCTCATCCTCTGATTTGTACCAAACCGACCTCGAAATCACCCCACTCTTGACATCAATATCATCTTCTCCAAAGGATAGCTTCCAAAATTCACCATTATATCCGCTACATAATCGATTGGGATTCCCATTTGCTTGACCAGGGGAGGAAGTCCCATTTCCATAACCAGGTGATTGAATGCAAGGAGAATTCCCCTTCTCTGTTCCCTTCACTTTTCTGGGTGTGGCTTCTTGGCTGCTTTTCTTTTGCTTGAGCTTTGAGAGCCAAGAAGCAGGAAATATATTAGACATGAAAGAAGGCCTAGAAGAGGAAGAAGAAGAAGAAGTCGAAGAAGAGGAAGAAGGATTTTGCGGTTTTCTCCTACCCCATTTCATAATTTCAGCAAAGGAAGATGGGTTTCACTTGAATTGAAACAAAAAGAAAAAAATTGTTACGTTAGAAAGTTTTTGGGGTATGGAACATCAAAGAAGAAAGTGATTCAGAGAAGATGGTATAGCAGTAGCAGTTATTGAGACAGTTAAGCTGCTAAGTAGGAACGTGGGTTTCATATTGGTCTTTTTGCTGTTCTTTTTTTCAAAAGAAACACCCGCCATTAATCCTGTGACCACTTGCCCACTTTTTATCACTTTGTGGATGGTTCTAAATCTCTAATAAGGAACTAAAAGGAAAATAGAAGCAAAAGAACAAACATGACGCTAAAAAAACCAAAAAGAAAAAGAAAAAGAAAAAGAAAAGAAGCCCATTTCTTTGATTTTCATCTCGCTTAGAGCATATAGGCTCTAATTCACAAAGAATTGGGAGTTGGCTGTTGGCTGTGTGTCATTATCACAAACACCTGTTGGGCAGACAGAGATGGGAAGAAATGGGTTATATTTTCTACACTTAACGTCATATATGAACATGTCGAGGCCCTTTGTTCTAGTTTTGGATTGAACTGTTTTTGAGAATTCCCTGTCAAGCTTTAGTGATGGAATCTTATTGGGTTTCCTGTCTTTCTGCTTTATTGCTTTTCTTTTTCCTTCACTTCTAGATTTTCCGTCTTTTGCCTTTAGTCAAAAGCCGAATTCAAGTGGTCCACCAAGCTGACTGGGTTGAGCCGAAGAGCTGTACATTTTTCCCATGGAGATTACGAACCCTTTATAGGGCCTAAAATGAAGAGTGGTTTTGGCAGAGTAGATTGCTCCATTGGACTATGAGGTTTCTCTCATCAAACATTAAAGTTGATGGTTTATTTCTGATGTACAGCAGAGAATGTTATACAGAACTTTTATGAGTAGTTGGTGAAGGTTAGTCGAGAAGAGGCAAGGGAATTGGGAGACCGACAATGAATAGGCAAAGGAGATAAGCAATGAGACCGAGAGGGACGAGAAAAAGGAGTCGTTAATCCTCGTTACGTGGTTGTTCGTATCTCATTTGATTCTGATTTTCTTACCGCTCACTGTAGAGGTTCTGTGAAAATGCTCTGGAAGAAGAGACACTAATTTCCCCACGTTCTTCTGCACCACCATATATTCATGGATTCCTGGAGGGGTTTAACGCTCATTATGTTCAAAGGTAAACTGGGGCACCTTTTCAGTTCCTCAGACTGACATGACGAGGAAAGCTGCCGCTCATCCAGAGGGCGATGAAACGAAAATGAAGACTGCACTACATCGATAGGAGAAGAGCACAAGGGGAAGAAAAGCTAGCTGAGAATATGAAATCTACGTCAATAATTGGCTTTCGAACCTGGATAGTGCAGCAAGACCCAGATTTAGAAAGAAAAATATGACATTGACATCAACAACTAGATCTCTGACTCAGATTGTTTTACAACATCAAGATGTATAAAGAAAGAATTCAGGACAAAGTCGAAAAGTATTGTGGTTAGTTCGGAACCTATCAATCCTCCCGAAAGCATACTAAATGCAGAAGATTCTGGGTTTGAAGTGAAAATGCATGCATTCCCTAATAATCATTCAAATGAATGAAGATTTTAGAATGGAACTCCTTAAACATTCGAATACAGATACCAGATACAATTCCAATGCATTGTGGTGTCATTCAGTTGAACGCTTTCAAGATACCAATCGTTATGAAAGTGAAGTTATAAGTATACTGTAAATCCTAAAAGAAACTGATCTAACAAGGCGGAAATTGAATTTGAGTGGGCAAAGGTTTAGCACATGAGGCCTGCATTCTATAATCCTCTCCTATTTTTACCATTAATTGATTTCATAAAAATTGAATTCACAGATAAAAATGAGCCTGCCTAGTAATCAACATGGAGCAAAAGAGATGAGAAAAAATAAATACAACTAAAAGAGAAAACCAAGTTAATCAATCTCCTAGACCATTCTTCCCTCTTCTTCCTTTCCGGCTGGAATTATTACCTTGCTAACTACGCAGGGAGACATTTACCACAGGAGACAAGTTTCAGCAATGACTGCGGCCTTCGAGTTCTAACTTTCAACCGTGATAGCTGCACAAAATCATCAATAAGTCGTTTTTAGCTGAAAGAGAATGTGATATCAAAACTGAAACAATCAAATTGCAAGAGTTATTTTAAATCTCTTTCTCGCCCTACCTTCCGTCGAGTTACTCT